TTGATTCAAGATAAGGAGGAACTTACCTCCGAGCGGGATCAACTTTTGGCCAAGCAGGACCAAACTGTTGCTCGCCTATCAAAACTGGAAGCTAAAACTACTGAAGCTGTTGTGTTGGAGGATCGGTTACAGCAAATTGAGTGAGACCCTTGGCCAAGAGATCGCCCCATTAGGTTTCAATTTGAAGAGGCTAGGGCCGAATAGGCTGAAGTCCATAGTGCCGTTCTTGATGCATCCGATCGCGAGGCTGCCTTCGCTGAAAGATTAAATAATTTGGAGGCGCCTTGAACTCCAAAACTGAAGAGCTTGTTGCTGCCGAGGTGAAGTATGGCCAATTGGAGGAGAGGTATAAGAAGTCCATTGAGCATAATAGACTTTTCATCTATATTGTCCGTGATCTTGATGTCAGCCTCCGATCTGTTATATTCGTAGGAAAAACTTTCTACCGAGGTTGACCAACTTAAAGAAGAACTCAAGCGCCGAGCAGCTTCCCTTGTTATTGAAAAAGCATATGCTATGTATAACATAAGGAGAAAAATCTTGGAAGAGGCTAAAGTGGGTGTCATTAACTTTGATGCCTAAATCGCTAAAGCTCGTGAGCTGTAGTCAACTACTAAAAGGGGTCTTCCGGCCAGAGCTGATGCTACCGATTCTTATGGTTCCGATTTCGAATTCTCGGGAACTGAAGAGGAACCGGAAGGCGATGACGCTGAAAGTCAAATTGATGAAGGCCAAGACATCGAGTCGGCGATGGATCTACCTACTTCTCCTGGGGGCGCGTATGCTTCTCTTCCTTCGGGTTCCGAAGATGCAATAGCTTAGTTATTGATTTCTTTTTCCAACTTTTGTACTTGTGCCGTTTGGAACATTCATAGTAAATAAAAACGCTTTTTGCTCAAGTATTGTATGAGTTTTTATTTTTGCGTACTTTTGTTTTATGCAAGTTTGATCTTTGCGTCCTTTTTTGTTTAATTGTTTTGCGCAAGTTTAACTGTTTGTGTCTGATCATGCAGGGATTTGGGTGTATTTTCCCCAGTAAGTGTTTGGATTTCGGGTCACAGGTTCTTTCGAAATCAACCCTTTACCGTGAGGGTTTTCATAAGAGAGGTCCCTCTTATGTTTAAGGTACTCTTGAAGAGGATGTCTCTTGTTCATTACGGCACTAGCATTTGAAGTACTTGTTTAACTTTCAAATGACAAAATTAATTCATTGTTCAGACAAGAAACAAGATAGAAATAAAGGACTTTTTCTTTATTCCATCCATTTTCAAAAGTACATGTATTTGTTGTGCTAAAAAGAAATTGTCATTTCTTGTGGCTAAGTTGTACAACTTGTTTCTACGGGACTGGCTGCACAGTCCCAAGTAACTATGCTTCTGAGTTTCGTACTCCGGTCTAAGAGGCAGTCGTTGTTGCCATATCCTCATATCATTCTCCCTAGTGTTCGAATGCGAAGAATACGAATTTGAACACTGGAAGTTTTACACTTTCAAGGATTCCACTAATGAATTGCTAGATAATCTTTAGTTCGGCAACAAACTTCACTCCCCCTTAGGAATTTATGCTATCGATCCAAAGACTATCTAACAATCCCCTAGTGTCTTGCACTTGTGAACGATCGGGTAGTCTTTGTTCGATAGCAAACTTAACTTTCCGGTAGGAACTTTGCTACCGAGCAAAAGATTATCTAACCGCTCCAGAGTGGTTCTTCGCTTGTGTGCCTTGTCATTAAAAGGTCTTATTGCTATTGTTGAAACTTCTTTCGTAGTATGCTTTCCGTTGTTGTCTCGTTAAAAACCTTGCCAGAAAAACCTAATTGGGACAAAAACTAGACGAAGGGAAAAGTAGTGCAGCATATACTTTAAGTACAGGTGATGTTCATCAACAATAGTATCTCTTGAGGTGTGCCACATTCCAGTTGCTTGGAAACTTTTCTCCATTTTGATTCTCTAACTCGTATGATTCTTTCCCGGTGACAGCTGAAACCCGGTAGAGGCCTTCCCATGTTGGACCTAGCTTCCCTGCATTGAGTTCCTGGGTGTTTTAAGACAATTTCCTTAAAACCAAGTCTCCCACTTTGAAATAATAGAGGTTGGCTCTTCGATTGTAGTATCTTTCTATTCTCTGCTTTTGAGCTGCCATCCTTATATGTGCTAAGTCCCTGCATTCATCAAGCAGCTCCAACTTGACCAAAATTGCTTCATTGTTTGCTTCTTCATTTGCCCAGAAGTATCTCAAGGTAGGCTCCCCTACTTCCACCGGGATCAAGGCTTCTGCTCCGTACAGAAGTGAGAAAGGAGTCTCTCCCGTACTTGATTTTGCCGTTGTTCGGTACACCCATAATACTCCTGGCAGTTCCTCAGGCCATTTGCCTTTAACTGCTTCCTATCTATTTTTAAGATTTTGTATAATCACTTTGTTTGTTGATTCCATTTGACCATTTGCGCTCGATGATAGGGCGAAGATGTGATCCTTTTGGTAACTCAAATCTGCAAATTATGTTCTCCCACAAGAAATCCACCACTTCATGTTCACCGATCTTCTGATAAGGACCTACTTCAACCAACATAGAAAAATAGTCAGTTAAAATAAAAAGAAACCTTACCTTACCAGAGGCCGGCGGTAGTGGTCCGACGATATCCATTCCCCACTTCATGAATGACCATGGAGACTGAACTGAATTCAATTATTCTGCTGATTGATGTACCAACGGTGCGTAGTGTTGACACCTATTGCATTTTTGAACGAAAGCTTTGGCATCTTGTTCCATTCGGGGCCAATAGTATCTTGCCCTTACTAATTTTAGTACTAAGGAATATGCGCCCGAATGATTTCCATAGATCCCTTCGTAGATTTCTCGCATAACATGCTTAGCTTTGAAGGCTCCCAAACATCGGGCCAGCGGGCCCTGAGAAGATTTCCTGTACAGTTGACCTCCTTTGAAACTATACCGCTCTGCTTTTGCGCGCAGCACCCGGGATGCATTGGATTCTTCAGGAAACTTTCCATGCTCAAGGTAATCAATGATCTCATTCCTCCAGTCCCAAACCAAATTAGTCGGGTTTACCTCGTAGTAAGTGCATAAACTGTACGACCGTACTAAAATCTGATCCTTTCATCTTCGTAGACGAGCCAAGGTTAGCTAACGCGTTAGCTTCTGCATTTTCTTCCCTCAGTATATGCGTAATTGACCACTCCCGGAACCAAGCAAGCAGAGCCTGAACCTTTACTACGTATTGCTGCATGCGTTACTCTTTGGCTTCGAATATCCCATAGACCTGATTCACCACTAACGGGGAGTCGCATTTGATTTCTATGACCTCGGAATCTAGTCCCCGGGCCAATTTGAGCCCTACAATCAAAGCTTCATACTCCGCTTCATTGTTAGTCAGAGGAACCATTCTTATGGCCTACCTTAGAGTTTCTCCTGAATGCATGGTTAATACTATGCCGAACCTGGACCCTTTTACATTGGAAAATCCATCCGTAAATAGGGTCCAAACTCTTGATGTCTATTTTTACACCATCACTGCTTCTTTGGTTGCTAAAGGTAACAATCCCAGACTGAAATCGGCCACAAAGTATGCCAAAACTTGTGACTTAATCGCAGTCGTAGGTTTATATTCTATGTAAAATTCACTCATTTCGACGACCCACTTGGCCAGCCTACCCGAAAGTTCGGGTTTATGAAGGATATTTCACAGGGTAAAGGTGTTCACCACAACTATCAGGTGACATTGGAAGTAAGGCCTTAGCTTGCAAGCAGCGACTGCAAGGACTAAGGCCAACTTCTCCAGATGTGGGTAGCGAGTTTTTTCTCCTATTAAAATTCTACTAACGTAATAAATAGGAGATTTCTTACCTTTATCCGCTCGTACCAAAATGACGCTTACCGCCACCTCCGAGACTGCTAGGTAGATTAACGGTTTTTTGCCTTCCTCCGGTTTCGATTGTAATGGAGGACTGGATAATACCTTTTCAAATCCCTCAAGGTCTGCTTATATTTCGTGGTCCATTCAAAATTGTTACTTTTGAGTAACGAGAAGAAATGATGGCATTTCTCTAAAGACTGGGAAATAAACCTACTTAAAGCGGCCAGTCGCCCCGTGAACCTTTGCACCTCTTTTATGCTCGATAGCTGGTCCGGGATGTCTTTATGGCTTTGATTTTATCGGGGTTAATCTCAATATCCCTTTGTGACACCAAGAATCCCAGGAACTTGCCGGAGCTGAACCCGAACACACACTTCTCAGGGTTAAGCTTCATGTTATGCTTCCTTAGGATGTCAAAAGTTTTTTGCAAATGTCTAAGATGTTCACCTGCGTTCAAAGACTTAACAAGCATATCGTTTACATAAACATCCATGGTTTTCCCTATTTGTTTTTCAAACATTTTATTTATGAGCCGGTGATAAGTGGTTCCGGCATTTTTGAGCCCGAAGGGCAACATATTATAGCAATATGTGCCGAAATTCATTATGAACAAAGTTTTTCCTAATCCTCCGGTTCATCTTAATTTGGTTGTACCCGGAGTAAACATCAAGGAAACTCATTAACTCATGTCCGGCCGTTACATCAATCATTTGATCAATGTTCGGCAATGGAACGGTCCTTTGGCACACCTTATTTAAGTCCTTATAGTCTACGCACATGTGAAATTTATTATTATTCTTTGGAACTACTACTACGTTAGCTAACTGGTCTGGATAATTTACCTCTCGGATTGAACTGATATCAAGTAGGCGAGTTACCTCTTCTTTGACGAATTTGTCTCTGGCCTCGGCCATAGAACATTTTTTCTATCTTACCGGAGGGATTTTGGGATCCAAGCTTAGCTTGTGTACGACCACTTTCGGCGGGATACCTATCATATCCGCATGCGACCATGCAAAACAATCGACATTAAATTTAAGAAATTCAATAAATTGCATTCATCTCCATTGCCGCCCGTTGGTCACCTCTTATTTGTTTAATTCTCTCTAGAGTTGAGAATTTCAGTAACTAGTGATATGTCGATGGTACAACCTTCATCTCGTGCAACCATGGTCTTCCCAGGATAATATTATAGCCCATATCACCATCCACCACCTCGAAAAGGGTAGTCTTCATCACCCCTTCGGCATTCGTGAGCAACAAGATCTCTCCTAGGGTTGTCACGCTTGCTAGGTTAAACTCGGCGATGAGTTTTGTGGCTTGAATGATGCTTCCGGTGAGCTTGGCTTGCTCTAATACCCTCCATTGTATAATACTGTCCGAACTCCCTAGATCTACTAGAACACGTTTGATGTTAAAATCTAGTACATTTAAAGAGATTACCAATGTGTCGTCGTGCGATAGCAACAATTCATCTACATCCTCTTCCGTGAAAGTGATGTTGTCTTCAGCGACTTCCCGGAGCCTTTTGCTGTGGGTTACTGACACCTTCGCCTTTTTGCTGCCAAGAATGTACCCCTTAATATCGTTTCCCCCGAAAATCATATTGATCGTCAGGCGTGGGGGAATCTTCTCCTGCTTTTGAGGGATCTATGTTATCATGATTGCGACCGTAATTGTTTTTAGACTAGTCACTTAAAAATTCCCTGAGATGGCCATTTTTAGTAGTGTCTCCACCTCTTCGTGCAGATGCCGGCAGTCCTCGATCTGGTGAACGTTTGTCCCGTGATATTCGTACCACAAATTAGGATCCCTCTAGCTGGGATCGGATCTCATTGACTTTGGGAATCATGGTTGTTTAATGTTCCTCATAGCCGACACCAACTCTACTATACTGGTGTTGAAGTTATATTTTGAGAGTCTAGGATAGGTAAAATCTAGAGAACCTGACATTTCCTTGTCCTGTAACGACATGTTGTTTCGGCCGCGATCAATTCTTTTATCTCTAACGTACCTATCCGCCGACTAAAAACCTCTGCCCGTCCTTCGGCCTGTTCATAGGGCAAAAATTGGCTGCTCAAAGACCATCGATCTATGTTGAAATCGTCTTTTTGATTTCTCTTTATTCTTCTCCCAGTCCCGACCCTTAACCGACATCGGAAAATCGAGCTGATCATCCTTAATCCTTATCTTTGACTCATACCAGTTGTGAACATCCGCCCAAGTTGTCATTTGGAACTCGAGCAAGCTTTCTTTCAACTTTTGGGAAGCATCGAAACTTCTTCGATTCAAACCCTTGGTGAATGCTTCAGCCGCCCATTCATCTGGAACGGTCGGAAGCAACATCCTTTCCTTCTGGAACCGGGTCACAAACTCTCGCATCAACTTAGACTCTCTTTGTGCAATCCTGAATATATCCGCCTTCCGGGCCTGTACCTTTCTATCCCCGACATGGGCCTTAATGAAAGAATCCGCAAGCATCTCAAAGGAGTCTAGAATGCTCGGGAAAAAGCGAATACCACATTAAGGCTCCCTTCATGAGAGTCTCTCTGAATTTCTTCAGCAAAACTGACTCGATTTCGTGGGGAGCTAAATCGTTTCCCTTCACCGCTATTGTATAGGTGGTGATATGCTCTTGAGGATTTGAAGTCCTATCATATTTCGACATGTCTGGCATTTTAAACCGCTTTGGGATCAATTATAGTGTCGCGCTTGGTTTGTACGACAATTGAGTGTACTTCTTTGAGTCTAGCCCTTTCAGCACATGTGGTGCGCCTGGAATTTGGTCCATGCGGGCGTTCGCTTCCCTCAAAAACTGTATGAGTTCGTTTTTGGAGGGATCACTCTCATTGTTGTCACCGAATCTGCTGCCCCTGGACCTATCGAAGCCGACCTTGCCCCTCGGGGTGTTGTTGTCAACCTTCTGCGTTGTTTGATTTGCGGGAGCACCGGGAGGAACTGGTCCTCGCCCATTCGCGTTATTGGAAGCACCCGATAATGCCTGCTTCAGCTCCGTCATAACCTTATCCTACTATGTGAGATGACCTAAAATTGCCTATTATTGCTCCTGCAAGACCCTTACCGCTTCGACGACATACTCTTCTTTAGCATCATCAAGAGTTGCCTCTCGAACTCGTTGTGGATATCGCCTGCTGTGAACCGGTGTGGGGGTTCCTATCACTGCGGGTATCACTGATTGAATCCTTGTGCTGAGGCCGATCTCATTGGGCCTCATGGTTGTGTGTGTTGTTAACACCATTATCTGCCATTTTCTATAATTTTTTGCTAAGAACAAATAATCAAACACGTTAGTAAAAGAGGCAAGGACTAGCTTAATTACACAACTGTCTAAGCCCCACGGTGGGCGCCAAACTGTTTACCCGTAAAATGGTACAATTTAATTTATACGTGGTTTATAGATAAGTTAATTAATTTGATCCTAAAATAATAGATGAATTAGAAAAAAATGTAATACTTAGCCTTGAGATGAAGATAAAATAACAGAAATAGTAATTTCGGGAGCAGGGCTTCCGGGGACAATAACAACGATATCAGTAAACAAGAAGATAAAATTATAGTGAGCTTTGAATAGATTGTAGCGTATGTTTGTTAGAAAATTTGTGTCCTTACAATGATAATGGAGCTCACTATTTATAGTTGCACCTAGGGAAAAGGTCCTAAGATCAAGCCCCTCTTTAATGTCAATTATGAGGGCCATTGAAGAATGTGTAATGGCAGGTAGTGAATGTTATATTGCGTGTACTTAATGCTGTAGAATATTCTTCATTAAGTGCTATCAGTAGTAAGCATTTATTTCATCTTTATGAGTATCATTCTCTATTAACAGACAAGATTTTTGCCTTCAGATTCAACTATCTTCTGTCTTCGGCTCCACTTGTCACTTCCTCATTCGATTATTTAATATAAACATATTTTACCCTATATACACATGAGTTTTCTTTTATTCCTTTTGTTTACCTCGAAAATACAAGTAACAATTAAATTTGATTTGTGGTTTAAAAGATATGTGATTTAGTTCAATACTAATTAATAATCAAGAAGTATAACGTATAAATGAAAGAAATGAGTAAATCAAACCAGTGTTGCTAGGCAGTATCTATCTCGAGCCAAAGTGACCTCCAGATGGACCAAGAACAATAAAGCAAGAATAATAAAGCTAAAGGACAATTCTAATGAACAATGAGCGAGAAAGTAAGAGAGAGTATATACTTTGCCAATGATTAGATGATGTTTACAAATGATTAGGGTCCCCTTTATATAATAGGGGAACCCTAAATAAGGTATATTTCTATTTATAGTAAAGAATCTTATTGGAACAACTATCTAACTGCCTAGTACGGATTCGTACAAATCTATTCCGGTATTTACGCCATGATCTTGAGGACGTGGTAGGAATCTTATCCTTCTGGAACAAACCCATAACGACACCATCTCGGAGTCGGTCGTACTTGGCTCCGATGTTCCTCGAGCACTTAGATCCTTGAGCCTTTTATTCTGCCTTCGAGCCCGAGCTTGGTCTATATCGAACTTTTGTCCTCGATGCGGCCTCTCGAGCCTATAAAATCGGAGGCATATGACTTTGACTGTATACAGATAGTTTTCGCGTTTCTTAGAATAAAATGATAAGAGACTATTTGATTCTCGACCCTTAGATGCCTTGATCATGATGCCAATATCGTGACGTCAACGACTGAAAGGTTGCGTCTGCACAGTTTCCAAGGCCATCAATTGAAGGCGGCTGATGGTCGGCTATTGGTTTCCCCAAACTATTAAGGCGACCTCTATAAATAGGCCAATCTTACAATTTTACATCTTTTACTTTTCAAATCACTCTTAAAATTTCACTAGCTTCTTCATCTCCTCTGAGTTCACCCCTTTCTCAACTTGTTCTTGCAACAGCAACCTCTTCTCTTCATTTAAATTTCTTAACAACAATGGCTAAAACATCCAGGACCGTTCCTTAGAAAGAGAAAGCTTCCTCATCATCGCGGCCGGCCAGAGGTAGAAAAATGGTGCTACCTCATATCGAGAAGTGCATTCTCGGGCCATGCGAGATAACTTCTGATTTTAACGTCGATAAACCTGCGTCGACATGTCACGCCCCGAACCTAGGCCTGGACGTAACACGGCACTCGGTGCCTGACTACATGTGACCGAGCGAACCAACTGGCTGGCTGAGTCAACATGTGATATCATAACATACTAAATACGGAAGATAGACTAACATATGCTGATATACTGAAAGTCTGGATGATATAAATCAAAGTGCGGAAATACTAATACAATTCTGAAACATATTTGTAGCCAACATAGCTTAATATGAAAAGTCTGAGACTCTGTCTAACTGTTACTCTAGTCTATGAAGCCTCTATTGAAGTACTGAAAACACTGACTATCTGTAAATACTGAAAGGCTGTAAAGTAATGATAATGCCCCGAAAGAACTGGGGATCACCAAATAGCTGGTACGAGAATCCTAGCGCTCTGCGTCGTTGACCTGTAAATCATTACCTGCATTGTAAGATGCAGGCTCCGGGCAAAAAAGGACGTCAGTACATTTGAATTGTACTGGTATGTAAGGCAACTGAAAGAAAGAATTATAAATGCTGAAACTGAAACTGAAATGATAACTGAGAACTGATAAGTGATAAATGAAATGATAACTAATAAATGATAACTGGACTGATAACTGGTAACTGAATTGATAACTGATAACTGAACTGATAACTGGTAACTGATATGATAACTAATAATTGAATGGTAACTAATAATTGAACTGAAAGGAAGTACAGATATGAATACTTCCTCTTCTGAATGATGAACAACCTATTTATCTGAATATTAAACTGCGGCCTCAGGCCCAATATATATATGTGCACAAACTGCGGCCTCGGGCCCAAGTATACGTATACATAACTACGACCTCAGGTCCAAAATGCATAAAGCATAAACTGCGGCCTCAGGCCCAAAGATGCATAACGCATTAACTGCGACCTCAGGCCCAAAGATGCATAAAGCATTAACTGCGGCCTCAGGCCCAAATACAGGTGTTTGACATTCAGGGATTTAAAATTAGGAATTAAGAATCATACTGCAATACATAATAGTGAAATACTGAATCACGCTGAGTTACATGATACTGGAATACTAGAACACACTGAGTTACATAATACTGGAATATTGAATCATACTGAGTTACATAATACTAGAATACTGAATAAGACTAGAATGAGACATGTATTTTTGAACTGATTATGAACACTGAAACTTCAACTATTTATGACATGCTGAGTAAGCTATATTGAGACTTAGGGACATCAAACACAAGTCTATATTGAATACGAACTGAGCTCACAACATTCAGAATAAAAGTCATGAACGAGTTATGAAGCTAGAGAATAGAATTTCTACAACTATTCAAGGAACTAGGCTTAACTATATTTCTGAGGCAATTGATACGTCGTAAAAGAAACGTAGTGTAGGGAGAATCATTAACATTCCCAAATATAGAGAGTTAGCCTCACATACCTTAACTTCCTGCTCTTGAGCATAATACAATATTCGCCAACCCCTTCAACTTCAATC